CCCCAAAACCCCAAAACCCCAAAACCCCAAAACCCCAAAACCCCAAAAGTTCAAACTTCCTGAATCTTAAATTCAAAGGTAATTATCAAGTATGGAGATACTCATGCATCCTTTTGACTTAGTCTTTATTGTTCTCATTCTTTAGAACTAAGTCGTAATTCTCATAAGTCAGTCCTTCTATTGGCTTCACTCCAAAGTAGTCTGAGAGGATGGATTCTGCAGTACAGAATGCTCCTTCAACCCATCCTTGGTCTTCTGAGTAAGCCTCTCCTGCAATGTAGATTGGGGCTTGGTCAAAGTTTTCTTTGTAGGAATTGTTTTTAATAAATCTAGAAGGTCTTCTGATTCTATCCTGAGTGTCTACGATATCGAAGTGAGGCTTCCAAGCATGGTATCCACCACCAAATGGATCAACAGACCAATCCATAACTACAGCTTCACAAGGATCTGGGATATCACTGATATCACATCCATGAAGCTCGGCGATTAAGTTTCTCAAGATTCTCTTGTATGCAGGATTGTTTTCACAGTCAATATATTGGCAGCCATGGCTTCCAAGGTCATCTCCATGACCAGTCACCTCTCTATCTTTTGTGAATCTTAGTTGATGCCAGAAGTAAGGATTTACCATGTCATCGTAGCTCAAAAGCATTGCATATCTTTTCTCTCCTCCTGGCAAAGAATTATCTCCAAAGTAGTAAGTCTGTCTAAGTGGCAAATCTGTGATGGTTGGCCCTGGCTGAGCGTGAGGAATTATATCTAGCTTTAAATGAGGATCGTTGTTGCCTCTAATGTTTTCATACCAGGGTTCTTTGAAGTAAGCACCTATCTTGAAAGATGGTTGGGAAATGACTGATTTGAGTCTTAGCTGCACTTCATCATCATTTAAGATATAATATTTATCCCCTGTATTAGCATCGTCAATAGTGGTGGAAGCAACTTGTTGTAACGAGTGGCGAGGCATACATAAGAAAGCATGGTCTGCAATATGCTCATTTGATGTTGGAACCCATGAGTTTCCATGTTCTCCTAGTAAAAATCCAACCTTAGTTGAAGATTCATCATCTGTTTTCTTTGCATAAACGGAAACAACCTTCTTTCCTGTGTGGTAATTGAACTCGATTCCGTTCTTCTCACAGTTCTCTTCAATAGTTTTGAACATCTTATCGAATAAAATAGAGAATCCTCCTTTAATTGAATGATAAGTGGTACTACCTGGAACAAATTCATTGTTCCTGACCATAGCTGAAGCTGCATTGTAGTTGATCAAAAAAGCATTGTATCCTGCTGTCTTTAACAAGTAGTCGTATCCAACCCCACCAATGTTGGGCTCGGCGACTACTAAGTTCCAGAATCCAATGTTCTTAAGCCTAGTATCATCTGCATAAACTTGCTCGCGACCGTCAAATCCCAAGAAGTTGTAAGTAGCATCATTGTAGAACTTTGCTCTCTGATTTCTTGTCAAGCGTCCATCCTTGCTATCAATTCCGTACTGTTCAAAATAGCTCTGAAGGTGTCTATCAAAGATATTTTGATAAGCATTCTTCCAATAAGTACCTTCCTCAGTGTCGTATCCTACCCATTGATGCTTTCCACGAATGTACTTTAGGGGCTTAGGAGTTGTGTTAAAATCATCCCCTTTAAGATCATAGTTATTGATCAGCTGAGTGACTAGTCTATGACCATGATCATTCTCATCATAGTGATACTCCAGGTATCTCATTCCACCCATTTCAGCACTAGTGTTGTTCTTGAAATTAGCCCAGTTTCCATTATCTCCCTTCTGGCCATAGTAGTAAGTATTAATTCTTCCTCCTGGAACTCGGTCTCCGTTTCTGTATTCAGCATTTTTACTTTCGCTAAAAGAATATCTTGTGGGATCATAAATGTTGATTACATCCCCTTGCTTAGGTACATCAGCGTCGCTTCCTGATGCAGCGGCTTGCCCTTCGCTTAGTCTAAGTGCTGTCCAAAGCCCAGATGGGCCGGCTCCAAAAATGCTATAGTTTTTGGAGAATTTCCTTGTGCTAATCCTTGTTAACATTGAAATTTCAAAAAATTAGGTATATTTTGTTTCAAATATGAACGTTTTATAGGGGTTTTGGGGTTTTGGGGTTTTGGGG